GATAGTTTTATTTTATTTAATTTCATTTTTTTTTTCTTTTTTTTTTTTTTTTTTTTTGTATTTTCATTTAATTTCATTTTCATTTCATTTTTTTTCTTTTTTTTTTTGTATTTTCATTTAATTTCATTTTTATTTCATTTTTTTTTTCCTTTTTTAATTTTCATTTATTAAATTTACATTTATTTATTTTTATTTTTTTTTATTTTTTTTATCTTTTAAATTTATATTTTCTATTTCTTTATTTTCATTTATTAATTTTGTTTTCTCTGTTTTTTTTTTTCAGTTATTACTCTTATACACAATCTTTTTCATTTTATTTATCATATTTATGTCTAATTGTTTTCCTTTAATTAGATATTTCCTATATATATTTGATATTAACTTCATTTTTTTAATTTCATTTTTTACACTTATATTTATTCGTTTTTCTTATTTTCATTTATTCTTATACTTATACTTAATTCTTTTCTTCTTTTCATTTATTATTACACTTATATTTAGTTATTTTCTTCTTTTGATTTATTATTACACTTAAACTTAATTTTTTTTTCTTCTTTTCATTTATTATTACGCTTATATTTAGTTTTTATCTTATTTTCAATTATTATTACGCTTGTATGTCATCTTTTTCTTTTTTTTATTATTATTATTATTATTATTATATTCACAATTATATATTGAAACGTGAAATATACATGTAAACAAATATGATTGTTTTTTTTTTATGTTTTATTTTTTTTAATTTGTGTTGTCTATTATATCGAGAGTAAAAATATGTCGATAATTTATTATCATGTGTTTATCGTACTATATATGTGGGATGAGTATATCTTCATGTCCGAATATTTGAATAAATATTCATGGGAGGAGGATTAGATGATGGGGTTCAATGGATAAGTTCGAGTATACCAATCCAATTAAAATTCAACTGCTTAATTTGTCATAAATCCTATGTGTGTTTGTTTCATTGCTCTCCTTTTATATGTATCATTTTTATTTTTTATTTTTTATTTTTTATTTTCTTTTTTGTTTATTTTGTACAAAAATTTACAATAAAGAACATTTCTAAGCCATTTTGTTAATGGTTAAGCGACCATCTCAAGTGTTGTAACCGGCCAAAAAAATGTTTAATTTTCGTGATTTTTTTTTTCCGGATGGATAGGACGAGGGGATAGGGATGTTTTTTTTTCCCCCGAATAAAATCACTCTTTAACAATGCAAAAATATTTTTTTCATTCGTTTTTATTTATTTTTACTTATCTTCTTCTTAATATATACAAATTACGTGTCACGTTGTTTGTTCGCAATGGACTCCTAAACTACTGAACCGATTTTAATCAAATTTTGCACACTTTGTGCAGTTTCATCCAACTTGAAAGATTAATATATACAAATTACGTGTCACGTTGTTTGTCCGCAATGTACTCCTAAACTATTGAACCGATTTTAATCAAATTTTACACACTTTGTGCAGTTACATTCAACTTAAAAGATAGGATAGTTTATATTTTAATTTATAATCGCATTATTATTTTATTGCGAATTATTTGTTTATTAATAAAGAGTCCTGATTATCTCTGTTAGTTCGATAAGATTCTAACAGATGGTGGTATAATGTAATTCGTTGACTTAAACACGTGTGTATCGGACTGATCGTGAGCCACATTATTGTGTGTGTGATTTGTGAACACAAAAAGTTTCATAGGGGACGTAAAGAATAAAGTAAAAATAAATTCTGTAAAAATTTCAAATCGATAGCTTGAAAAACTCTCCCTCTGAGAGAGGTGATGACACCGTTTGTAAAAAAGGGCATTTTGAGAAAAAACGCGTTCAAAATTAACATTGTATCGACAACTCAATTACATATTTTAATAAAATATTAAAATAAAATGTTTATAATAGAAAAATACTATTTTCTCATGTAATGATAATGATTATCACTATGTCAATCGATTGATCTGCAACAACAAACTGTAAACTAAATTTTTGTTTTGGAAATGTTGGCAATATAAAATCCTATTAATAAGCTATTGGTTGATAAAATGTTGTCTAGGTTAGAAAATAACTATATATCAATTTGACAGTAACAGGTTTGGTTAGTTTAGGTTTATAAAAATACAGTAATAGTTAGGTTTTACAGTAACAGGTTAGGTCAGGTCAGGTTTATAGCAAATACACATGTCGTTAGGGTTATTACTAGATGAAACTATAGTGAAATTGTGGGGTATGGGGAAAATAAATAAAAATATATTAGATCAGGATATTATTTTTAAAATAAATTGCTTTGTGCTAATGTGAATTGTAAATTATAAATAAGCTTTTATGCATATCCCATAAAAAAAAATTGTATATTGAAAAAATATTATATTACATTTTTGTCGTTTATTATTATTTCACGTTGTGCATCACATTTTAACATATTTAGAGAGAGAGAGAGAGGAAGAGAGGGAGAGTGTTGTTATATTTTGTCTAGTTATTTTTTTTCTATTATATTTTTTGTTTGATTGCACGAAGTTTGATTTGATTTGATATAAATTTTCGTAAACAATTAACAATTGAATTTATTGGTTGTTTTATATTATAATAATGTGATTATTATTTATAAGATTTATATATTATTATTATGATTTTATTGAAATAAATAAAATAATATTTACAATGTTTTTCTTCTATCATTTTGTAGGCATCACGTGCACCACAAAATACACCATCGAATCAACAATTGCGTATGTTGGTGCAACAAATTCAGTTGGCTGCCCAAGAAGGATATTTAAATCATCAAATATTGAATCAAGCATTATCACCACAGACATTGATGCTGCTAAATCAATTATTGCAACAAATTAAGATTTTGCAACAGTTGCATCAACAACATTCTGTCCAGAGTTCATTGAAGAGCAACAGTCCATCGGTTTTGCAAATAAGTGTACAAATAACCAAGACCAAGCAACAAATTGCTAACTTGCAAAATCAAATAGCTATACAACAGGCAACGTTTATAAAACAACAACAACAACAACAACATCAACAACATGCCGTTAACAATGCCCCACCATCTCAATCATTGGAGTATTACAAGACTTCTGTACATGATCCCATGTCAGTTTTACAAAACAGCTTCAGTGATTTGACAATGAACAAAGAACCACCTGTTGTTAGTATTAATTTTAATTGTTTTATTCAAATATACATTGAAATAAGTAAAAATATAATAAACAAACAATGAGTGATATTTGAATAATAATTTGTAGAGTCAACAACAGTCGAGATTAAATCAATGGAAATTACCATCTATCGACAAGGATGGCGATATAGGAGCTAATGAATTTTCTCGTGCTCCTGGTACTACCAGCAAACAGTCGACAGCTCCTGGTGGTCTAACACAATCGCACAGTAGCCCCAATATGAATCCTCTGCTAGGTCAAGGCGATGGAACATGGTCATCTAGACTTGGTGATAGCGGTTGGCCAGATCCAGGGAATTCAGATTCCTCGGATGCAAAAGATTGGCAACCTGGAGGTGCAGCGTTCACTGATCTCGTACCGGAATTTGAACCTGGCAAACCATGGAGGGTAATCCATTCCCAATACTATTTATTATCATCATCATCATCGTCATCATATAACATCATTTGCTTTAATATCATTCGCTATATATCATTATTCATATTATAGTATTATTGGGTTCAGCGCAAAACATTAGTTCTTAAGATATTTCCGGGTCCACCTATATTTGATGTCATTTTAGGGTACCCAGATGAAAAGTATCGAAGATGATCCCAGTATCACTCCTGGTTCAGTTGTACGCTCTCCCCTATCACTGGCTGCTATCAAGGATCCTGATGCTATATTTTCATCAAGTAGCAAGACTTCACCACCGCCTCAAAATCCTAATCCGGATACATCGATTCCAAGTTTAAGTAATTCTACATGGACATTTAATCCACCCGCTTCAACGCCTACTGCATTTACTAAGTAAGTTTTGTCAATGTATTATTTCATCAAATATATATATGTTAAAGTTGTTAAAGTCAAATTTGAATTGTGGTGGTATATTTGATTTGTATTAATTGTAGTTCGAAAAATACATGGGAGTCAGCACCACCACCAACTGCCGTTACCTCAGAACTATGGGGTGCACCGATGAGTAAAGCACGAGGTCCTCCTCCTGGCCTAGGAAGTAAAGGTGCTGGTAGCACCAGTAACGGCTGGGCTGCTGGTGGTTTAGGAGGTGTCTCTAAATCATCCAGTTCCTGGGGTGGCCTTCAATCAAATCCTGTTAGCAATTCTAGTTGGGTCTCGACCTGGCTGTTATTGAGAAACTTGACTCCACAAATTGATGGTTCAACTTTAAAGACGTTGTGTATGCAACATGGACCGGTGCAAGACTTCCGTCTATATCTGAATCATGGAATCGCTCTTACCAAATATTCATCACGAGATGAAGCTATAAAGGTAGTGTTATTTTTGAAAAATATTTTTAACATAATTAGAAAGATTATTAGATATATGTTCAATACGAAGAAGATGATAAGAAATGAAATAAACAAAGAATGTATATTCATTTATAATTAATATAATTAACATTAGATATATACCACCATTTTCAGTATACCTATTTCTACTACATTAGTCAAAATGATTGATGTATAAGAAAATGCTTTTTGAGAGGCTTCCATTCTTTATTTAATCTTAAAAAATAACAAAAAATGTTTAACAATATTAATTTTAATAGATACATGAATTTATAGATATTTTTATATATATATATAGGGCCTTATTATAAGACCCTAGCAATTCAGTCCCTAGTGGTCGCTACTGTATATTTATTTTTTTCTTTCTAGTTTTCAATACTTGTAGTTTAATTCTTATGTTGATTATTTTTTTTTTAGTAACAATAGTATCTTGTGTTTTAGATTTTTTATTTTAGTTATTTTTGTAAGTATATTAAAAATTAATTTTATTAAATATGGTGTTGTAGCCATCTTTTTTTTTTAACTTTTATTTTATAATTTTGTTTTACAGTTATATGAAATCAAAAATCCCTAATCTTTGTTTAACATTCCCCTGTATTTTTTTGTTATCTTATGTTTCTTAATTTAAGGTTATGTTTTTTATATCCCCACCACTCTTATCTTTTATTTTACAGTCTTGTAAATATCATCATATACAGGATACAACAAACTGAATGAAACAATGAAATGAAAAAAAAAAAAAAACTGAATGAAATAATGAACTTGAAATGAACTAATGAAATGGATGAATTTGATTTCAGGCACAAGGAGCATTGAACAATTGTGTATTGGGAAATACAACGATATTTGCCGAATCGCCTGCTGACAGTGAAGTGCATACTTTATTGCAACAATTAAGTCATGGCGGTGGTCAACAACAAGCTGGTGGTTCTGGTGCAGCTAGTTGGGGCTTGAGACCGACAAACAAAGCTGGTCCACCTCCTGATACTTGGGGAGGAAGTTCCAGCCAATTGTGGGGTGCACCGCCAACGACCAATTCACTATGGAGTAACACGGGTATCGACACCAGTGACCAGCAAAGAGCAACTCCTAGTTCTCTCAACTCGTACTTACCCGGAGACCTTCTGGGAGGTGAGTCGATGTAAAAAAAAAAAAAAAGAAGAACATGCGCGTTAATTATTTCAATATTCACACTGCGCATTATTTTTAATGAAGTTTTATGCGAAACCATCATTAATAATATAGAATCAAGGAACGAACAAACAAACAAACAAACAAAACAAAATAATATAATACAAAGTTTTAAAACAAACAAACAAACAAACAAACAAACAAACATAAACAAAACAAAACCAATAGATTGCGATGCATATTTTCTTCTTTTTAAATGATCTCTGCCTCCTCTTCGAGTTGAGATCAAACAACAATAACAAACAACAACAACAAGAAACAAAAAAAAACACCTCGTGATCCAAAGTTTATATATATATATATATATAACTTTCTCCCCCGCTTAAGTTCCTCTTATATAATTGCAAAGAATTTTAAAACGATAAAACACACATTTAATTAAACCTGCTTTTATACGTCGTTAATAATAATAATAATTATAAAATAAATAAATAATTAAAATTAGAGGCTCTAAAAGTATAACACGGAGGAGTCCCATTAATACACAAAAAACAATACAAATAATAAACAAACATATATATATATATACAAACAACGTATATTTCTTCAAAAAATTTTCATAAAAAAAAAGAAAGATGACTCTTAACGCATCTTTTAATAATTTGCGTTTGAATATTCATCTTAAAATGAAAATTAATGGAAGAAAATAATCATAATTAAATAAATTAAATTAAATTAAATAAATTACATTTTAAACAATTAAATTGAATAAATAATAAGTGACATAGATGGACGGGGTCTTCACGAAACACGTCAATTAACATTTAAAAATAAAATAAAATAAATAAAATAAAATAAAATAATTGCGATATGGGCTCTCACGCGATGAGAAATATATTCTAATGAGTTACTTAACTATAAAAAAAAAAAACAAACAAAAAACAAATAATAAAATCACATAATAATAAACAAACAAACAAACAAAACAAAAGAAAACAAAAAGGAATTACTATAAAGTAAAAATAACATTCTCGTATCTGCCTCGGATTATAAAACGCATATGTGTATATTTATACATATATATATATATATATATATATATATTACACGCACATAAGTATTTATATATATATAAACATATATACATACACACATATATATATATATATATATTATATATAATCATGTGCGTGTATATAAATATAAATATATATATATGTATATATATACACCAGGTGTCACAAAAAACAAATAAATAATAAAAAAAAAACAAAAAGAAAAATGGATAAGAAGAAGAGTGAAAAAAAATAAAAAAAAAAAAAAAAAAAAAAAAAAAAAAGATAAAAAGTATAATGGAAGAAGTACCGCCAAATGATCTTATGCGTTAGAATATCTAATTTTACATGACAAAAGAAAACTTAAATAAACTAAACTTACAGTCTGATCATTCTATAAAGAAGAGACTTACACACGATGATAATTAAAACGTGGTGAGACTAATTGTGATCCACTATTATTTAAAGAAGATGAATATGAAGATGATTAATATGAAGATAAAGAAGATGAAGATGAAGATGAAAATGAAGAAAATAATAATAATAATAATAATACATAAAATGGAACACATTCAATCGTCTCTTTTTATCATGAATGTGTGTTATGTGGATGTGTGTAGGTGTGTTTGTGTTTGTTTGTGTGATGAGTATGCGTGAGTGTTGTGTATATGTGTGATATTAGGTATGTTTTATTTTTGAGTGATTGTGTATAATTAAAACGCGACGTGTTATTATATAAAATTGGATCATTGAATAAAATCAACGCGATTTTTCGTTTTTTTTTT